TGTACAAATTGCAACATAGAACTATGCCCTCAAAAAAACATATGCTGTATGCGCGCTCAATACAATAATAAACTTTTTTCATAGACGGTGCTGCGTGACTCAATGGTCCTTGATCCATCACTGATATTGTGACGGCATTTTTAACCTACCGAATTCAACACTATTTACATATTCCGTTTTTTTTTCGGTTCGGCGACAATGCAGAACACCTCAGAAGCAATTAAGATTCCAGACGTGTTCCAGATAAAATAAAGTTTTGCATATATTTTCGTAAATAAGTATTTTTGATTCTGCCTTATCTAGACGATGAATAGATGAATGCGGTTACATTTACAAATACATATCGATGTTTTAGGACCCACGAATGCAGGATGTGCTGTTTATTTACATTTGGTGTGGAATTCTAGATCATAAATGGGAAATAAATTGTTTTTGATGTAACAAAAGTTGATGAACCAGTTGAAATACGTTTTATATCCTTTTTTTTGCAAAACAAAAAAAAAATCGATACATTTCTACAGGCACGTATTATGTACAACACTCTGAATGTGATATAGAGACAAAACTAGATTGCCGTGCAAGGAAGGTCGTCAAAAGCAGTTAAAACATCCTATTAAATATAATAGCTAGAATTTCTTGCATTTTCATTGGTCCATTAAAATAAAACTCCGTCTTTTATAAAATTGGCAATTCTATGAAAGTTATACTAATTTTAAAGCTCAAATACATGGTATTACATGCAGAATGTACCCTTATTTATAAAACAACCACTTTTTCACGATTTCATTCAATATTCCAACAGAAATTACTGATATTAGGAGAGCTTTGACAGCTGCACCCTTATTGGTGGAAGTCTCCGTCAAATTTAAATGTTAGTACTATCGATTCTATTAGTTCATTTGATCCACAGACGTTGTCAAAACTTGTTGCAAACTTGTTTTTTAAATTTCATGCATTGCAAAATTGCTAAAATCTCATGTCGTAGTTACAAAATATTTCTACATAAAAAAATGCCTATTAGTGCACAGTAGGCGCATGTCAAATTTCATGAAAATATTTGGAACCGTATTAAAGTTATGATAAGAAAACGATTTTTTTCTTAAAATTTTAACACCCTGTAGCTCAAAAGTTAAGACGTTTAGGACATAATATAAACTTTTCTTCCTAAAATCTAGCTAAGGAATCATAGCCATCAATTAAATCACACCTTGTAGATTAAAAATAAGTGAATTATGGACAAATAACGCGGAAATTGCAAAATTTGGGCTTTTAAAGCGCAAGTACTACAATTAAAAGAAAAATGTAGATGAGAGTTGAAAGCAGATGTTCTCAAATATTTGAATGAAAAAAATTCACAAACAAAATGAATCTGAGTCATTTGCAGGGCGGAAAAGCCCTTTTATGGAGACAGATCGCTTTCCGTTATGTATCTTTTCAATCTTCAGGTTAATAACCTATATTCTTATAGTAGTGTACGAGGGTGGATCAAATATACTTATACATTATTCTTAGCCAATCACGAGCGCTCTCACAGTGTAGGTCCTTGCAGTGTAGTGTATTAGGAGTGGGGGTAACGCGTGGTGAGCTGTTCCACTCAGTTAATGCGTCAGTACAGTCATGAGGGAGCAACCGGTTCCACCGTCCGTTTCGCAACGAGTTATTATAAAGATTTTCACGAAGTTAGGCGTTGAATCGTGCAAGATTTTGGTTCCATTGAAGGCCTCGTATGGGGATGATACCCTGTCCAAAACTCAGGTATGCGATTGGGCCAACAAGTTTAAGAGTGGACGAGAAGGTGTAGAAGATGTGAGGCATAATCGACGTCCAAGATCAAGTGTCTTTGGTGACAACATTGGTGCAGTTCGTGGCCTTTTTGAAGGCGGCGACAGGCTGCTCAGTATCCATGAAGTCGCTTTAGAAGTGGGCATTAGCTTTGGAAGTTTTCAAACAATCATCAAAAAGCATCTTGGCTTCAACAAAATCTGAGCTCAGTGCGTGCAGAAGTTGAACGAAGATAAAAGAAACATCCGACTGTATATCAGTAGGAGACATCAGAATCGATTTAGGCCGGAGGGAGAGACTTTTTAGAATCATATCGTGACGTGTGATGAAACATGAGTACATCGCTACACTCCCGAGTCCAAGATGGCGAGTAAAGAATGTGACGACCATTTGTTTGAGCCCATGAAAGATGTACTTGGAGGATTGCGATTTGACGATCGAGATGAGGAGAAATTCGTGCGCAATTGGTTGGTCACTCAACCTCCAAGCACCCTCGCATATATTATGTATTCATCAGACAATCACCTGACTTGCGGATAGTGTGACGCAGCTGCGGCGGCTGCAGCAGCCGCATGCCTCTGTTGCATTTGGTAAGCAGCTGCTGCAGCTGCGGCTTGCTGCATCATGGCTGGATGCTGTCCGCCTGCTCCTGCAAATTGCGGCTTCTGTTCCTGCTGGTGGGTGGCCGGGTACCCGCCCATCTGCCGCCCGTACTGCGCGGCCGCGCTTGCCGCCCCAGGACCGCCCATCTGGCCGTATCGATGCATCGAGCTCGCCGCTGAGGTCGGATAGCCGCCGTGCTGACTCCAAGCTGCCGCCTGTAACCAGTAAAAGCATTATTAAACTCGCTTAACTCCATGTAAGGTTCCATCGCTCGGTAGCGAAACATTATAAGGCTTCTACATAGATCAGGCTAACCAGCTAAAAACGGACCCTGTTCTGAGAAAAATTGTATAGTAGGAATTTACAACGAAACTTTAATCAAAAAACTATAAACTTTGGTATCGGAGGTCTACAAAATAGTTGTGGAGGATGAAAGACTTTAAAAATGAGATCTCATATATAAAGTTTTTTTGCTGAGGCAGTACAAAATTTCAGTTTAAAAACATTAGTGGTAATTCTTTTTTCTTTACACCGAAGTAGTCGCACAGGCAGAAACCTAAATGCCAGGACACCGCGGTTGCTATGAGGATCCCAAATTTTTTAATCCGAATTTGGAACTGCCTAAGATTAGTAGATCTGGAAAAAGCTTCCTCTTGTAGATTGTTCTACAATCTCGACACCCTCGGGACAAAGGAGCGGTCGTATCGGCCAGTTCTGGATGTACGAAGTTCGACACGGTTATGATGGGACGCCTAAGTCAGGCAAGACTGTCTGGCAGGCACATCGCGCGGCGGCATCATGGACAGCTCTGAGGATCAAAGCCCGTTGGAGTAGCGGCATAAGATAGCTAAATCGCTGCCGGCCCGCGGATGCGAAAGGGTTCCGAGACTGTCTGTTGAGAAGAATTATCGATCGGTGTACATCATCGAGCATAAATAATGTAGTCGGGGCGGCAGCACCCCAAACATGTGAGCAATACTCCACGCTAGGTGTTATCTGAGCCTTGTAGAGAGTAGACTTCTTGACCTTAAACAAATGACCTAGCTTTTCCCAGCATCTGGCGCTAGTGACGAGATGTTTTCGTGCCAGATGAAGTCCTCGGCGATCCGACCAGCCGAAATGAACAGCTCTTTGGCAGAAATCGGCCATCCATAGAAACCGAATAAGCGCTAGGACGCTTTCTGTTCATCAAGGTACAGTATCATGTTTTGGAAACATTAAACTATTGATGGCTTCCCAAGCAGTTATAACCTTCAGGTCTCACGTCTGACAGGAAGTCGCTGCTAGTCTTCTTTTTTCCAGCTCACTGGCAGAGGTCGGCTTGTCGCTCCGAATTCCTGCATGTAGAGTGCTGTCGTCAGCAAAACGTGGATTGGAGGTCGTTGATATGTAAGGACAGAGTCATAGCCAAGATCGATCCCTGAGGATACACCCGCGTTGACGTTGTGGGATGAAGAGGAGAACCCGTCAATTACGGGTATCCTGCGGCCAGAGAGAAAGTCAGCCACCCATCTGCAAAGCTTTTCTGGGAGGCCATAGGATGGATGTATTCATAAGAAGGCAGCATGCCACAGCTGATCGAACGCTTTCGTGATATCAAGAGCAACGATAGGAGCTTCACCATAAGACTGGATGAGTGTACTCCACAATTGCGTGACGTAAGCTAGGTACCCTGTGGATCGCTGGTGCCGGAAACCACTTCTGCCTTAGCCTTTGTGTAGGTTACAATCGTTCCATCCTGACACGTAAGTGGTGGAAGTGAGAAGTTCCTTTCAATCTGCTTGGCCGGCGTCCAGAAAGACCGAATGCCATTGCGCTGCGACATTACCCTGTGCCTAACTTTTATATCGTGCTGGTTTTGGGCATTACGAAGCGCTTCGTTATATTTGTTTGTGCACTCGACGTCGGCTTGTCTGTTCTCTACAGTGGGGTTTTGTAAGGTTCTGTGTGCCTTCATCGTCTGCTGACGTGCAGTGTCGCGCACGTTTTGTTGAACCAGCCGTTGTATCCTGGTTTAGGCAGTTTCACTGTATGAGTGATGTATTCCTCCATCCCAACATGGGTAATTTCGGTTATCGATAAACAGACAGTCGACACATCCGCATTTGTTGTTGAATCTTCGTCTCGGCGAAGTTTTGGCTACTATTTCATATTTTCTTGCACTTGAAAGCTGGCGAAGGTATTTTCATGTTCTACAAGTTTTCACTTTTCAGTATTGTTAATGTACCTGTATGCGACTACTTTTTCAACTATGACGATAAGTGAAAAGTTTACCCAGCATTTTTTTGGTGTGTTTTTCAATTCATTTTTTTAGGACAGTTAGTACTGAAAAATCAACACCCACAAAGAAAATATAGACTTTTAATGAACAGTAAAGTAAACTATAATATCTAAATACTAATAACTACTTGTTATTTATAAAAAGTATCAAGAAGTCTTCGACCAAAAATATCTTGTTAATATGACTTTTCTAATATGTAATAATATTCCATGTTCAGATATTTCAAATTTCCATCTTAAATCATGTTCTACACCCGTAAATAATAAATTTATTAGAAACTCCTCTTTATAACAATAAAGTTTTACTAGAATATTTGTAATCAAGCGCGGTAAACATTCAAATTATATCATTCAGCCGATCATCATTGAAGAAGCACGATTGTGCTTGGAGGTGAGCTCGAACGATGTCTAAGGTCCATGCGTTTTCGGCGTTTGGAAATGTCCCGGCCATTTTGTTTTATAAATCTATGGATTTGACCGACATCACGATGGCTTCGTCGTCTTTAACGTACATTGTGGTACAATTTAATAGGGGCGATAGCATTGGCGACATCCAGGAAACAAGAAGTATGTTGAATCCTGTAAAAAAAGTAAAGCGATTTGCTACAAATAAATTTTGAACCATCGGAGGACTGGAACGTGTTTGAAATCAAATAGTGTTTTTTAGTTTTTTATTTATTTTTGTTCAAATGGTCATGAAAAATGCCGGAGGTGATAACGACGTCTCGGAACGAAAGGGTTCAATAGTGGTAGGTAAGTAGATGTTTCAGTGCATTCTTTACCACCTCTGATTTCAACACTTGTGGGACATCGTTGTCACATCCTCAATTTTTCGGGAGCATTTGGATACACCGCGCTATTATTTTTGCGAGCGACGTACGTCATATAGACGTCATATCGACTTTGTACTTGGTATTTTATTCGACATACTATGACGTCAATTGATAGTAGACAGACATAATGACGTCATGTCTACATCATGGCTGTTGGTCGGCCTACGTCAGTAGTGCCCTAAAAATGCCGGCATATGACGTCACTATGTTCACTGGGGTGATTGGCTACTGGTAGTAGTTCAGTAACGTTTCTGCGATTGTTCCTTGTCACTATGCACTATGGCTAGCAAGTAGGTTAGAGTGGAATGCTGACAGATGATGGAAAGTGTGTATTGTGCAAGTTTCTTAAATATAGTGATTCGGTCAATTTCATGAAATGGTGAAAACTTATGGAATATGTGAAAATTAGTCTAAACTTGACCAAAACGGTCTTACTACGTGTTAATCTAAGTGGTGGATTTCAATCACAAGTGGCAAACAAATCAACTATGTTGCTAAGCTTATGTATCCTGATTACGAAAAATTATTGGCTACCGCGCTGACAAATTCCCTAAAAGTAGTACCTGACTGATTCCTTAAAAGTAGTACTTTCTACTAATAGTCTAGACCAGGAGTTCCCAGCGAGGGGAGCGCGCCTCCCAAGGGGGGCATAGAGGGATGTCAAGAGCGGCGGAAAGCGTTTGCATTTTAGAAAGAAAAAACAAAAAAGAAATAAACAAACAACATTAACAAATCACATTGCAATGTAATGTTTAATTTACACGCATAAAATCTGCGCGCACCCCCGCCGCGCTCCGCTTAACATTCATCACTTAGAAAAAAACACTTGTGTACCTATCAGACGCGGATGAGCATCTGTGACATTTATTTCCACAAACTTGCGAAAAATTTGACGTTTCGATGTACATGTTTTTTTGAGAAATCTGTTTAAGTGTGTCAAATTATTGTGTCTCACTGGTAAAAGATAAGTTTGTGTATTTACAAACTTCAGTTACCATTTTTATTTAATTTACTAAATTGTTGATTGAGTGGGGATTCGTTCATAGATCGGCCATTGGGACTTATTTACCATATCACAATCAAACCAACGCAACGTGGCGAAATAATTTTGAAACGACGAACTTTAACTACATAATATTGATTCCAAATGTATTTAAAATTATCTATTATAACGTCAACCTGCCTACAAAAATATAAATCTCCCGGTGGCCTGTTGAATACATTACGTTATTAAGATAAAATAATAGGCATATAATTACTAATTACATGTAGTCTTTTGCTTATTTATTTATTACTTATTTGTTTTATTGTTATAGGTGGAAAATGGCAGCGAAAAAAAAAGTTTTCCGAAGATTACGTTAAGTTTGGATTTATCTTCATAGAAAAAGACGAGTTACAAGTGTCTCAGTGTCTGATATGTATGAAAGTTTTAAGTAATGATAGCATGAGGCCCAATCGCCTTGAAAGGCATTTAAAGCAACAACATCCTACTCTGGTTTTGAAGACGAAAGAGTTTTTTTCTTCTAAAGCAGAATCACTCAAGCGGATGAGACTGGATGAATCGAGAAGTTATCACATAGGTTTATCGCAGCATCTCAAGGCTTTATTTGAAATAGCTTTAATCGTAGCAAAGCAAAAGAAACCTCATACTATCGGCGAAGAATTAATAAAACCATGTGCCACGCAGATATTTTTAGCAGATGCAGAGCAAAAAATGAAGTATATTTCTCTTTCGAATAACACAGTCAAGCTTAGAATCGATGACATTGCAGCGGACATAAAGTCACAAATAATTAACAAAGCAAAATTATCGCCGTTTTTTGCCATTAGTTGCGATGAATCCACCGACATCGTTAATTGTGCACAGTTAATAGTTTATGTTCGTTACATCGGCGGAAATATCATTCAAGAAAAGATGTTGTACTCCCAATCTTTGACAGCAGACTACATCTGAAGATATATTTAATTCAATATCAAATTTTGTTGAAAAAAATTATTTGGATTGGAGGAAACTCATTGGACTTTGCACAGATGGCGCACCTGCAATGATAGGTGTACGATCGGGCTCAGGTAAAAAGCCCGCAATGGTTAGTACACATTGTGTTATTCATCGGCAAGCTTTGGCTTCCAAAACATTGCCACAGCAATTACGCCAGACTTTAGTCCCGGCGAGAAGGATTGTAAACATACAGAAGTAATCTGGCTGTCCAAAGGCAACATGTTGGCTCGCCTTTATGAATTGAAAGAAGAGGTAATTCAATTTCTTGAGTTCAAAGAAAAACACGATTTCTTGAGAATAAACTCAAATTAAACAAAAAACAAAATGTTTGCTTATAGTAAAATTTTTAGATGAAGATACGATATCTTACGATTAATCGTGAAAAAATCAAATAATTTAAATATTTGGGCATATAGGTATAGTTAATTAAAATTTGAAGGGCATTATGAATATATTATTTCAAAAATATCTCAAAAGATAAATTACTTTTACAAAATTTCGCATTGCCTAAGCGTTTATTCTAAAAAAATTGTGTACAATACTATCATTCTTCCTCATTTGTTATATCGTCCGACAATTTTGTTCCCTGCAAACGAAACTGTATTTTCAAAATTACAAATACTAAAAAATAAAGCTGTGAGATTCATATCAAATAAAAATAAATATACTAGAATAAATTTTATGCTGAAGTACAATGGTTATATATCAAAAAATTCATATCCTACTTGGTTTTCATGTTCATATGCAAGTTAAAAAATCATCTTCTACCAAATGACTTGGAAAATTTTGTTGAATTGTTATAGTTATTCTACTAGACTAGAGGGAGTAGAGACTTTCATTTACAAAATTGTAATAGCAATATAACGACCAAGTCAGTATTTCAAAAAGGATCTACGAATTTAATAAATTAAGTAATGATATCAAGATGTGTGCTAGTTTAAAAATGTTCAAGGGGAAATTGAAAAAATATTTCATGGAAAACCAGAATTCACAGTAGTGAAATTTTGTACAAAAATATATAGTCTTGAAGATATATTATGTGAATACTGTGTAACATGGATATTGTAGCATTGATGCTGAATAAATCTAAAACAAACAAACATTTTTGTATCTCTAGATGAAGAACAGTTTCATTTACCCTCAAGAATATGTTTCGGTTGTCAAATAAGTCTACAGATTTTTTTTGAAATTCTAGATATCTTGGTCTGTACAAATGTGTCTCACCTGAACATCAGGCATGGAATACATGGTGTCGGTCTGGTAGGGGTACTGGGGCGTGGCAGGCGGTGCTGCAGCAGAATGGGGCGGTCTCACCATCCTCTGATACGCATTGGCCTGACCGGTGTGAGGAGGCGGGCCCATGCCCCTGCCGTCCGTTGGCCCCGCTCCATATCCGCCAGCCGATCCATACATCGCAGCTGCAGCGACCGAGGGATCACCGCCCGCAGGACCGCCTCCAGCGCTGCCTCCGAAAGATGCCAGTTTTTGTAGCGGGGACGTATGGTCGCCGGGACCCTGGACAAACAAATTGACGTGTTGTTATAGTTAAAACATAAGCTGCAGTTGACAAATCGACCTTTCTACCCGTAGGGTATTAATAGCACTTGGTAACTGTAGCCGCACTTTATTATATCTTTTTTTTTTCGAAACTATGGATAGATGCTAGTTCGAAAAAATTTGGGTTAACATTTAGTAAAGGAGAATCAGTGTAACAGAAACATTTTTTCAAATTTTGATGTATAGGTCGGAATATTGTAGCAATACTCATTACGCAACAATACATGATGAGGTTAAACAGCAGCGCCATAGTCTAAATGCGTGAGTTCACAAGTGATTTGTATTTAAAATAACATATTCGGAGCTTACTCAAAATATGATTTTCGAAACTTAAATTTGTATCCAGTATTATTTCCAAATGTTTAGCTTCATCCACAAATTCAATGGCAATACCTCTTAAAATTATGTTTGTATTTACTGCGTCTTAGGACTTGTGAATTGCTACTTTAGAACCAATAAAATTTATTTTATTCGGTTGGCATGCTTTGTAAAGTTGTACATCATCTGCGTACAAATAGATGATACGAGTATAGGTATTTATGGTCTACCAAATCTGAGGCGTAGAAAGCAAATAAAATAGGGCCTAAAGCACTGAACACCAAAACTCACAGATTGTAGACAGTTTATCGTGGACCTTTACTCCTTGAGAATTTGACATGCAGCTACCAATTATTTATTTCGCAATAAATTTGACCGTCTCAATTTTTCTCGTTCGATGCATTGTTTTTGAAATAGTACGCTGGTGCCCCATTTTGTTTTTAAAATAATGACATTTGGTCGATTATGTCGCGGACTTATTTTGACAAGTATTCATAAGCGTGATAGTTTTTTTAATCAATAATAAAGAAAAAATAAGTAAACTATGCCATGATTTACAAATTCCGAGTTAGCAGATATGCGTTTTACCTACGGACTTGCTGACGGGAATGCGCTTATGGCTAGGTGGAAGACTACATGAAACTGGGAGTCTTAGCATTAACAATACTTCCCAAGGGGTACATCGCACGGTGAAAACACCAGAATTAGAGGAAGCTGTTTCAAACGCAATTGAGGAACATCCAGAAACAAGTACTAGGCAAATTGCGGTAATGCTTAATGTCTTCCATTTTATTTGGAAAAATACTTGTTGATAATTTACTATACCCCTACCATATTCAAAGGGTTCAAGCACTACTGCCGCGTGATTTTCCATTCAGTTTACATTTCTGGCTGATTTTTAGAAAAAATGAAACTAAAAACCCTTTCTTTATGTGATATCAAAATACTCTTTACTGATGAAGCTACGTTTTTCCGATATTCCATTTATGTATGGGCCGAAGAAAGCCGATACGCAATAACAGAGGCACAATATCAGGAGCAGTTTTCTGTGAATGTGTGGGCTGGAATAGTAGATCTCGTCAATGGAATGTTCCAGGATGACTGGATGGACTATCCTATCGTCACTTTCATGAAAACGTGGTTGTTTGCCAATTTTGCTCAAGGTTGTACCTTTTTATTAAGAGAAGAAATGTGGTACATGCATGATAGTGCTCCTGCACATTTTAGTATTCATGCTAGGAAATTTCTAAATGAAGCTGGATAGAACGTAAGGGAACTCAATCTTGGCCTCCCAGGTCCCCTTATTTGAATAGTTTAGACTATTTTTTGTGGGAGCACCTCAAGACTTTATGCCACACCGGTTAAAACTGTAGACGAACTAAGGTAGAATATTTTACTTTCTTGCCAAACCATAAGAAATACTTCTGGAATTTTTGAAAGAGTTCGCCAATCCATGAGAAAGATAACTGAAGCCGGTATTCTAGCACAAGAAGGGCATTTGAACAATTCTTGTGATAATTAAATTAAATAGTATTAGTGCATCGGACGGAAAAAAGTCAAGAGGTCAAATTTATTGCAAAATAAATGATGATTTCAAAAAAATTTCGGAAAAAGCAATGGCGTACCACATATTTTTTTAAAATATGAAAAAATATTCTACATCAAATAATGCTTATTGGTGCTTAGTAGGTGCACGTCAAATTTTATGAAAATATCTAGAACATTAAAATTATGATAAAAAACCAATTTTTTCTTAAAATTTTAACACCCTGTAGCTCAAAAGTTAAGAGGTTTTGTTCATATAAAATCTTCTTCCTAAAATGAGCTAAGGAATCATATCCTGTATTTTTAGCCACCAATTAAATTACACCCTGTATTTGAATAGCGGATATAGGATACATGGTGCGAGCAAGTCCTGAATCTTGTCACTTACCGTTTGTCCCTGCCCTTGGCCCGGTTGCGGTTGATACGATGGTTGTTGAGCAGCCTGTGGATTTTGGTAGGCCTGCTGTTGGGCTTGTTGCGGGCCGCCTCCGCCACCAGGAGCCGCATTACGATTTCCACCCGTCACCGACGGATCAAAGCCTGAAACCCGACCGATCAAGTTCAGAAATTTGTACCCCGCCTAAATATAGTTTCAAATTCAATGAGCGATAAATACAGTCCAGCGATTGAGAATTTGAAAAAGTCCGAATTAATGTTGGACGCAATGCATTTAGTAAAATCCCCACAATACCTCTCTCTTCATAACATCCACCTTTTCTTAATCATCTCTAAAAAATAACAGATCTCAAAAGGTAGAAATAGAGTCATACTAATCTGTAAAACAAGTAATCTACATCTATCGTTTGAAATGGTCATTTCTGGTAAATCAATGCACTTGTGCAGCCGAATTTCTAGAGGATTTAAACATCCGATATAGGATACTTGTAATCATCCATGTTTGTTTCGTCGCTAAATGACACCACATATGATTGAAATACGTATACTATTCACTGAAGACGCTTCGTCCACCACGGTGGCCTTTTTCAAGTACTACCATTGTCGCCGAAGTGTTGTCAGTAAACAGTATTTTAAGTATACCGAGTGATTCTCCAAGGTGACTCACCCCTATAACTTTTTTATTTTTGAAGATAGAAAAACCAAATTTTGGGGTTGCGTATTATAGATGATTTTCTAAAAGTTACAAACACTAATTTTTTCAGTTTAGTTGATTCATTTAAATAAAACTCGTCGGCTTTTTGTAAGAGACCATTTTCTTACGAATAAATTCACACTACACACTCTTATTTTCACTATTTTCCTGAATAATTGTAAGAGACTATCATAACAACAAATTACGTGTTTGCATTCGGTATACCTACGCACTAAGTCCTATAATTCTAGTTATCCGTGACAAACAATTGAAGGTGTTTCTTTCGAACGACAAAATATGCAACGAACCAGAAGAAAATGCGAATAACTTTATCGTCAGTGAAGAAAAAGAAATAGACTTGTTGGCCTATGTTGGAGTAAGCTATACAAATGAATTAAATACATATCATCCTATTATTATCATACCAAAAAATAAAATTAAAAAATGTGCCATTAAGGTTTCTAAGTGTTCAAAATTGCCTCCTCCTTGATCACGGCAACGTTCAACTTTATCAGTTGTTTCTTGCACCACACTGATTAAATGTTCCGCAGTGATGTTCCGGAATGCCGCCCTCACTTTATGCTCCAGTTCTTCGCGTGTGGCTGACGTAGTTTTATACACCTGATTTTTAATTGGCCCCCAAAGAAAAAAATCTAGCGGAGCAAGATCTGATCTAAAATATGAAAAATAAATTAGACGTTTAAAAAAATAACACAAGGATGTACCTCGGAGGCCATTGAATAGGGCCATTAGTGCCAACTCACTTTTCTGGGAAGGTGTCATTCAGAGGTTCTCTTATCGCATGAAATTGTGCGAGTTCCACCCCATCTTGTTGAAAATAGATATCAATTTGGTTAGCCAGCGACAAATTTTCAATGAAACCATTTATTTCCTTATTGTAAATAGCTGTAGTTATATTTCCGCAGTAAGTTGTTCATCGAAAATTATTGGCCCCAAAAGTTCTTCCCCGATAATACCCATCCAGCAATTGTAACCAAATCGCTCTCGAAAATTTCCTTCATGCATTAGACGTAAGTTTGTTTGTGACCAGCACCTTTTAATGTTCCGATTGGACATACCCAAGTTGGTAAACCGACTTTTTGTCTGAATATGGGCCGATTTCACCAACATTATTATTATGGACCAATAGGAAAATACCTTATCGAAATGCAATTTGACGGAAGCTGTCAAAGGTGTCAGAATATCAGTGATTTCTATTAAAATGTTGAATAAAATCGTAAAATTTGACTGTATTATAAACAAGACCACTTTTTGATTCCAACATGATGCTTTTGTACAGAAAAAACAGGACAACTTTCATGTATTTTGATATATGTTATAGGTTTACATTTAACAATCCGTTATCCCCTCCAGCGAATGGGAATGGGAGAAATAATAGGTCGATTTTCTAGCTGTTAAATTTGGCAGCAGGTTTGGTCGTTTGTTAATTCATGGCAATCTCGAAATTTGTTAAGTTCAATATACTGTGTGTATATTATGAGATCACTATAGCTACACATACCTTTTGAATTGTGCGGATTTGCAAGAAAATAGAATATAAAATGTATTCCAACCAATTCCTTATCTCTCTTTACATCATAATAGTAATCATTTGTTATAAATTCATGGGTTAATGAATTTCTTCAAAGCAATCAAAACAGTATGGTCGTCCCCATTCTAAAACACCGATATGTGTAAAACATGTTAATCCCTACATCTCCGAGGTGCATAATGCAATTACTGTAGAAATAGACCTAAAATTATTAGTAATTACTGAAAAATAAGATCTAAAAAGAATTATAAATTGTGATAAAATATTGGTGGTTAAGGTTTTTGACTGGTGACTGGTGGGGATACAATATAGGGATGGCGACGATAGAGAAAGATTTTTCCCTGCCGGCCCTTGACATCCTTTCGAAATATGAAATTCTGGAAACGCTATAAAAATAAAAATGAATACACAAAGCCTACTTGCCTATTTCAGACAAAACAAAAACACATAACGATTGTCACCTTGACATCATTCTGCAATCTGTCAAAGTAGTGATGGGCGTGCCTGCTGCACGGTATACGGTATCGATATTCGATGACATATTTTTCTTTCTACCATGAATGCGTGGAAAAAACAAAATAAGAAGAGATCTAAAATAAGGAGTTATTGAAGGCCTAAAATAGCCAGGCGCTAATAATTCCTGGCCGTATTTGAATATCTAAGCAGGCACAGTAAAACAAAAATAAGACTTGGAATTAATAAAGTTTATTTCGACAGTTGGCAGAGTTTGATCCACTGTCCACTGGGACGAAGTGTTGACGGATCCCACAGAATTATGTGTCACTTGTCGATATGGTTAGTTTTAAAATATCAGGAGATATAATCAGCTGTTATTCAAATCAGAGTGTATATGTTTTGCGATTCAAATAACGTCTAATATAAGTATAACCCAGAATATGTACTCAGTGCAACAAGAAAGTTATTGCAAATTTCTATTTTTTCTGCAGGTTTTAAGTTTGCCGGGAGGTTTACGATATATGTTTGAGTATTTGTTGATCGCTGTAAATTTAGTGTGCATGTTTGTTAAGTTCCTGAACCACGAAAAATATTCAACTTTATGGATGTATGGATATTAAAAATCCAGAATGGTTTTGTGGGAATATCAATGTAAGGTGCCATAATGGTTCTGATGAAGGGCAACTAAATGAATGAATGTCTGGAAACGAGCAATATCTATAAACTTTTTGGTAGAGTCATCAAGTAGGTGCTTAATGGCTATCTGCAAGAGGTTTATAGGAAAAAAACACCCAGTAGATGATCTTGAATCAGTAAAATCGCATATCAATTGACAAAAATAATATTATCATGAATAAAAAATCAACAATGGTAATTAAGACATGAATTTTATTCAAAAATCAAACATTTGTTTAAATTTTGACTGAATTATATGTAATTTCTTAATATTCAATAAGCTGGTGATGTTTCAATTACAAGATGTCATCTCATACTTTGACAGTATTTTGTTTTCAACATTTCATAGCTATTGGTTGCTAAAATTTGTTGATTGGAACTTGAAGCTCATTCGCTGTATTTGACGGACTGTTACCCTATAGGTGGAGAATAACGGACTGTTGTTGGTGACATTGGCCCTAAGTGATTTTAAACGGAAAACGTACATCCTTCTCTGGATTTAGTCAAAAACTAGTTGCAATAAGTTAATTTTCGGTTGTGGTCGTCAACGTAAAGATGTTGGTGTAATTGGTACTTGAATGGTTGATATTTATAGTGATTTTACTTCATCATAGGCGTCTATTTCTTTTTCTTCACTGACAATGTTATTCGCATTTTCTTCTGGTTCATTTCGCATTTTCTGTTTCAGTTTTGGAAAATAATGCCAAGTGGGATGGATACGATTGGGGAATCTCTGACAATAAATTCGAGCTGCCTCAGTTGCATTTTTTCTTGCGTCCCCGTAAATCAACATGTCATTTTTCTCGTTTCTAATATAGTTTTCCATTTTAAATTAACTACGTACCAAATAAATTTTTAAAACTGACGGCATTTTCAATAACCTAGATTAGGTATTTGTTGAAGTTACCCTAGCAACACCTTTAGTTGTTTGTCACGGATAAATAGAATAATAGGACTTAGTGCATAGGAATACCAAATGCAGATACGTATTATTTGTTGTTATAGTTTAATCACATTAGCAAATTTACCCGAAATAATTGTAAAGATGTTCAAGGGGGTATTTAAAACATGGACGTATAAACTGGGTACACCAATTTTTGTGGGAAAACTAGCTTTTCTCAGGGTGTCTTATAAATGTCTGCATGTTTCCACACCTAAGCTACGCAGTCGGTCATCTTCCCCAACAAAGAATTATTAATGATGATGGATCTCTCGAGTACTCAGAATTTAGGACATAAACTCACACGATTGTCGGAATGTCCGGGTGGAGGATGGACTAGAGGGAACACCATCGAAGATAAAATTTGTTTCATGAACATCTGCGGGATTAACAGCAACACTGATGCTGTTCATCACTACTTGCAATCCAATCGTCTTGTCACGCTTTTCTTGGCGGAGCCAAGCATCTCAGAGTCTGCACCGATTAACCACCTTAGCTTCCCAAATTACGAGGTGCACTCCAATCTGAGAAAGACCGGGGAAGTTGTGGCCTTTATCCGCAGCAGTCTTTACTGCTCCAGATAAGTTTCTTTGGAATCAACTCCAAAACGTCCCCCACATTTATTTGATACCTCTCTCGCTCTCATTGACTACCCCCTCAAGATCGACTTGGTGAACATCAATCACCCTGCTTCAGAGGTAGTTCTCCTTGATGATTTCAATGCCCATAATGAGCTTTGGTTGGGCACAAACAAGATCGATCCAGCAGGTCGTGCAGCACTGCTGTCCTGTCTCCCCAGGTAACTCAGACCACGGTGCTGTGGAGGTTAGGTTTCGGTCAGAACCCGCTGTGGCAGCAGAAACTCGCCCAGGCCACAAAATTTCAGATACTCCTCTTCTTGGAGAAATGTTATTTCGCTGACGCGGACGCGTCTGCTGTCTGTTCTTCGATAACCGAAATTATCCACGTCGTGAAGGAGGAATACATCCCTCATACAGTGAAAGTGCCTAAACCAGGGTCCAACGGCTGGTTCAACAAATTGTGTGACACGGCTCGCCAGCAGATCAAGGCACACAGCGCTATGGCAGTCGGTCCTTCTGGACGCTGGTTAAGCAGATTGAAAAGAACTTCTCACACAGTAGCCTTCCATCACTGTGAAAATGGACCGACTCAAAGGCCAAGGCGGAAGTGCTTGCCAAGATCTTTGCCGCCAACTCCACCATGGACGTTCCCCCTAACGGCCAAGTTCCGGTTTCCTACACTATGCGGGAAGTAACATTCAGGCGTAAGACGGTGCTCTTGTCGCTCGACATCAACAAAGCTTCTGGTCCGGACTTGATTCCTGCCATTGCACTGAAGAGGTGTGCAGCAGAAAATTGGAAATTTGCTCATGTCCAACCTATCCCAAAAAAAGGATCCAAGACCGACCCTTACAACTACAGGCCTATAGCTCTGCTTTCTGTTATATGTAAGGCGATTGAGAGGTGCATACATCGCCAGCTTCTAGACTACCTCGAACGTCACGCCTTGATTAGCGACAGGCAGTATGGATTCCGGCACCAGCGATCCACATTGGACCTCCTAGCTTACGTCACGCAATTGTGGAGTAAACTCATTCAGTCTTATGGTGAGGCTCATATCGTTGCTCTTGATATCACGAAAGCGTTCGATCAGTTCTGGCACGCTGCCCTCTTATGCAAACTTCCGTCCTATAGGCTCCCAGAAAAGCTTTGCAGATGGGTGGCTGATCTCTCTGGCCACAAAATATCTGTTATAATTCACGGGTTCATCTTTTCATCCCACACCGCCATCGCGGGTGTTCCCCATGGATCTTCCATGATGCCGGGGCGCGATGTGCCTGCTAAACAGACCCGCCTGACTTTGGCCTCCCATCCTAACCGTGTCGAACTTCGTACATCCAAAACTGGCCGATACGATCCCTCCTTTGTCCCGAGGGTGTCGAGATTGTGGAACAATCTACAAGAGGAGGCTTTTCCCAGTTCTGCTAACCTTAGGCAGTTGAAAAATCGGATTATCAAATTTGTTTGGGACCCTCATAGCATTTAGGCTTCTGCCTGCGCGGCTGCTTCGGTACAAAAAAAAAGTTTCAGCACTGTATCTTCTATAGTTTTCAAGAATATTCTAATTAATTTGAAATGTCTCCAAAGTTCGCTTGACATTTGACAATCTCAAGTATAGTGGTATAAAGATCCAGTAAACCAAGATGAGTCGTAACCTAACGGGAATGGTTAACGATTGCAGAACCGCAGGACGGAGGTTCGAATCCACAAAGCTACTTTTTTCTATTATTTTTCAAAAATTTGGAGAAATAAAATGCTTTTTCATATTATGTGTACTTTTATTGCGATAATGTTGGCTTCCAAACAGGAAACCAGGGGTATACGTATGCTTGTTTATAATTTTGTTTTTATGTTAATTTGATAAAATTTCAGAAACATCATGTCGAATCATATCAGATAATTTTTAAAAACAAATATCTTAGATATGTGAATTATTAATTAAATTAAATTAATTATTTTTCTGTACTTACATGAGCAATAAAAGCAATTTATTATAATTATTATTGTACGCTCAAGTTTTTAAACGCGTTCAAATTAGGTACCTTTTGGAACCGTAGAGGATGCTTTGAAAATTAAATAAGCTAACCGCACTTCATCAACGGCGTAGACATTTCTTGCTTTGTATTTTTGTATTATGGCAGCATAACGCAGTGATGGAAAAGAGGATGCCCTAACATAACGTGAAAGTTGAATATACAAAAAAATCGGAAATTAAGCAATTTCAGTTATATCTTAAAGTGTGACAAAATTCATCTTTTGCACCTAAAATTTGTATTGTTGTAAAGCCTTCGGATTTGAAGCATTTCAAGTAGCTGCGTGAAAGTATCGTCAAGTATCGACAAGTGCCAAAACCTACATTTTGCTTCTGTTTTGGCCATATTCTTTTTACTATTATTGGAATCTTACGTGTGGTCTCATTCTGTAGGTCTAATAAATACCTAAAAATCTTATTAGAAGGATTTTTTCGTTTCTGCGAACACTTTCGATTGAATCCCAAAAAACATGTTTGCTTAGTCTTTGTTGTCGAATAAAAAGTGTTTCCACAAAAATGGGTGTAACCGTTTTATGCGTTATGCGTATGTTCTATATACCCCCCCTTGAACAACTTGCATCAATAAAAAGTGACTTTACAATTATTCGGCAAACCAGGGGTATTCTCGTCTAATTGATTAGACTATTAGGTATGATCGTTTTTTAAAACTATTCAGAAAAACAGTAAAATAAAATAAGAGTCTGTAGTGTCAAATTATTCTTAAGAAAATGGTCTCTTTAAAAGTCACCTCTTCTATTTTAAAAAATCAAGTAAACTGAAAAATATAGTGTTTGTAATTTTTAGAAAACCCTTAAAACGACTGTAAGGTCGTTCGCCTCAAAATCGTATTTTTCCTGTGTTACTTGATCCAAAACGAAGTGATTTACAGGATCCATGGCATTCTAGATCGAAAAATAAAGATTGAAATAAAAATTACTTGGTCAAATATTGACAAGTGAGGCGCTGTTGAATTCAGAATGTCATTTTCGAATCAAATAAGTAAAAATATATAGGGTGTCCCATTCAAAAAATCGAAAGTTGGAGTCGTTTCCGGTCAAACTGCAAGTGAGTATGTCAAAAATGTAAATTCATCTTTCATCTAAAATATCGTTTTTCTACCTTCAATATAAAAAAGTGATAGAAGTGAGCCACCTTGGAGAATCACTCGGTATACAGATATGCGTCGTATTAGTAGTGAAAGCAATTCTTTACGTACCCGGTATTAGAAGGCCATTATTGATCTCGCAAATTATATCATTGCGTGTTACGCGCCTCAGGATAACTTTTCGACTTTTATAAAAAAAGTGCTTTCCCCATATTTTTTTTATTATTTGATTTTTGAAAAATCAATATTAGCAAATAAATATTTTACAGCAAATATTGCATGCATATGCCATCAATTTTGGAACACCAACCTGCTGATGATCCGAGGTCCGGTAGGCCCTCCAGCATGCCGGTGCCATCTTCCCCGAACAAGTCGTACGAGTCCATCGTTTTACGCGACACATATCGATCTATCTACTGCTAGTTGGACCGCTATACGCAGATCTTCAATCATAATTATGTTACTAGTACACCATCCCTGTTTCCTGAAAAACAACATTACAACTTAAAATATGTAAAGAAAAAATACAGTCACATTAATTAATTCAGTTTGCCTCATGCATCCATATCTACTTATAAAGGGTGTTTCAATAAGGACGCAATATTTCAAAGTTCTATTAAACATGGTATTTCGTAACAAACAATTAAAATATTTAATGGATTATGGTGCATATACACTTTGGAATTATGTATGAAACAACACATCAGGTAAATGGCAGCCACGGCTCCGCTGGCACATGCGCACTCTTTTAATAAAATTTGTGCTAACATTTTTGAACACATGTCGTGGTATCTCGTTGATACAGCATCTGATTTCAGCTTTCAATGCTTCGGTGGTTGCAGACTTGTTGGCATAAACTTGTAACTTCAGATAACCCCAAAGGTGTTAAATCGCAAGAGCGTGGCGGCCAATTCTGGTCATCAAACTGGGAGACGACTCGACCAGGAGCAAACTCGTGCAAAATAGCCATTGTTTTATAAGCAGTATGACATGTGGCACCATCCTGCTGAAACCATTATATCATTAAGAGCCATGACTTCTAATTGTGGCACAAAAAACAGAGTAATCATTGCACGATAACGTTCGCCATTCACTATTAGTGGATTACCCGCCTCATCCTCAAAGGTAAACGATCCAATGATTCCTCCATACCATAGTGACACGTTTTGGATGTATAACTTTCTCATGAATTACTCCTGGATTCTCTGTGCCCCAAATGCGGCAGTTTTGTCTATTGACGAAACCAACGGAATGAAAATGGGCCTCATCGCTAAAAATGATTTTGTCTACATAATCGCCATTCACATATGGTTGGCCAAGGATCCAATTGCTCAACTCTCTTCGCATGGTCTGTTGGCGTAAGTTGTTGAGCCAATTGGACTGTGTAGGCATGCAGGTGTAAATCTTTTAATGTCCAATTCTTGAGCGCGATGACGAATCAACGTCCCGGGACTCTCGGCTACATTCTTCTGTACGACCGCTAAGAGCTCGTCTCGCATGTTTCACATCATTAACTACTACTTTAAAATTTTTTGATTCTTCTTTTCTCAGTGGATGGGGTAGGAACATTATTCCGACCGAATATTAGCTACACTTTTCGAATCGTGCCAATTAAACTTTCACCACTTTGGTAATAATTTTCAACAATTAGGATACGCTGTTCTATTGTGTAATGATTCATTTTCATAAACTCCCGCCTGTCTACTATCGATCTGTCATGTCACAATCATTATGACATTATGAATGCCAAAATGGCGCTAAATTCAAATATTGCGTTCTTTTGATACACCCTTTATTAACTATACAGAGTGGCCCAACGAAAAGGTCGCACCCCCATTTGTGCCTCTCTTGTTATATTTTGGGTAAAACGCACTTTAGATTTTTAAATGGAACCCCCATTCTTAGTTTTTAGATTATCTTTTGTATAATAAAGTTTATACCTCTCTTCAATCGTTGTGAAACTATTGAGTATATAATAAAATTCGACTAACTCGACTTAATACTAATAATAATGGAATGCACGGCAAAAAATAATCATCATGGACACCAGCAAGAACATTTAGAATCAGTCAGTGTCATCGTATGCCACAGAAAAATGTCTTTTATTTCAAATCAAGTTACCTGTCTAGTTGTGATAAATATTGAACAATGACCTATTCAATTCAAGGAAGCGTAGAAATAACAAAATTGTATTTCGGAAATGGGAGCATTGGAAGAGCTACTACTGCCCGGTTGTTTAATGGATTTACACGCTCAACAGTACAAAGAATTTTGAAAGACAAATTTCACCCGTACAAGCTTAATGAAGACGATTTTGATAGAAGGTTGGAATTTTGCGATTTATCTCTCAACGTTTAATCAGCAATGCAAATCTGTTATTCGTTTCTCGGGTGAGTGTACGTTCTATTTACATGGCGCTGTAAATAGACATACGAGCCCCTTCCCACTTCAGTTGGCCCAACTATTGAAATCTTAGTTTTTTTCTTATCAAACACAAATAATAAAAATGTAGCAGGGTGTTATAGGTTTAAAATATTAACAATGAATGTTTTGATAATATTTAGTAGAAAACACCAACTTTCTCATTCCCTAATCAATTTTGCAGCATAAAAATAACACATGTTGCAATTACAGCATATCAACCTATTTTCATTTCAATGCAAAATAAGTCTACTATAACGCATAGGTGGCTGTGAAAAATAAAAGCCATGACAATTGTTTTTATTAATCACAGCTGTCAGAATACGTTTAAAATAGTTTTGGGTAGTTAAGGTTTTCAAAATGGGTAGTGAGAAAATTCGGTTACTGATAATTAAATTTTTTAATTCTGGGAAATCAAACTCAGAAATTGCAACTTTGTTAGACTTATCGCGGTACAGTGTGAGAAATATTGTTAGAAGATATAACGTAACTGGTTCATTTAATATTAAGCCACGATATGTGAAAAAAAGTAATATTACAAATGCCGACCGAAGAGCATTAAGAGAATAATCGTGAAAAACAGGCGTGCCAATTATTTACAATTAAGTGCTCTGTGGAGCGACGCTGTTGGAAGGAGAATTTCGAGGTCCATAACTTATAGAGAGGCCCACAAACTGGGATTTAGCACTTCCAAGGTAAGTTTTCTTATAAAAAAATGAAGTAAAAAAAGTTGCACAACTTGTTTATAGGCCAAAGAAAAGCCACTATTAACTCCACTGCAAAAAAAAATCGGCTTAGATGGGCTAAAGAACATATACAATGGACACCTCAACAATGGACACCTCAACAATGGTGTGCAATACAATGAAGTGATAAGGCCCGATCCGAAGTTTGTGTTGGTGACAGTCGCAGTAGAGTTATTCGCAAAAAAATGAAGCATTCCATGTTGACTGTCTGAAGAGAAAAGTGAAATTTCCAGCATCCATTATGGTCTGGGGCAGTATGTCATCAAAAGGAGTAGGAAAACTTCATTTTTTGTTGGAAATGTGGACACAAACAAATATTTGGCAATTTTAGAAGAATGTTTGACATCCGGCCAAGATTTTGTGTTTCAGCAAGATGGTGCAGCGTGCCATACCTCAAAAAAGGCTATAAAATCGATGGAAGAAAATAATGTACCACTTTTGAAATGGGTTTCTAGCAGTCCAGATCTGTCACCTATTGAAACTTTGTGGCACGAGACAAAAGCTTCAAGAAATATGGGATTGTTTTACACCAAATTTTTGCCAAAACTTGGTTAACACTATGCCCCAAATAATTTCAGCCGTAATAAAAAATAAAGGTGATGTTACCCAACGGTAATCTTTCAATTGTTGCTTTGTTAACTTCGCGTATTTATTCGCACATTGTTTATTTGTTCATATCTTCTATTAGTTATAGGTCTAAGTGATTTCAAATATGTATTTTTCACGACTAGAGTGTATCTAAAATGTTTTTGAGAAAATAAATTGTTTTAGAAGTAAATAGTTTCGTCATGTTTAGTTTATAAAGGCATATTTTGGTACAAATCTTGAATTGGGCCAACTGAAGTGGGAAGGGGCTCGTAATTGTCGATATTGGAGTGACTCGAATCCATATTTGTTTCGAGCGGGACACTCGCAAGCTCCTGGAAACTTGACGGGCGAGACGTACTTGGACATGACAACAAAGCCACGAATTACATTCGTTTTCAACAAGATGGTGCACCGCCGCAGTATGTGGCTCCAATACGACAGTTTTTGGACACCCATTTCCGGAATCAGTGGATCAGCAGTCGAGGCCCTATCGAGTGGCCGCCGAGATCTCCGGACCTAAGTCCTTTAGATTACTTTCTTTGGGGGCATTTGAAAAGGAAAGCTTTTAGTACGAAGCCAACAAATAGTCCTTTGACTAGAATCATAAATTGGAGTCAAGTAGATAGAAGCATTACAGGATATACGTCAAATGTGAGAATAGCCTGATATCATTGCGTTCGCACCTCCACATTTTTTTTAATAATCCGTAAATGTAATCAGAAACTTGGCATTCATGATATTTTTCGTTTTTCGCTCATAACACCAATGTTTTGATTTTCAAAGGCTAAAAAGCTTTTCATGCTCAGCATTGTAACGACTTTGTGTGGAAATTTTGTGAATATCTGAGCGCCATTCTCAGTGTTGTACAGACGCCAGCCAGGCAGGCATATCAACGGCAATGACATGGTTTTGTAGTATTGACATTAAGTTCCATCCAGAAAACGTAATATCTGAATTTATAATTTTTTTCGCGGTTACAATACTTTCTTAACAATTGGTATGGAAAGTAATAGAGCCCCAAGCAGGAATTCTAATTGTTTTGCTATAATTCCACCGCGCTGCTACTGGACTAAGAATTTTTGATTTGTAAGGGGTGTCCAAGTTTTGAATTAAAAAGAAAACACAGTTTTAAGTCTTTAGATTGTTATTTTTATTGAAGCCTAAAGTATTTAGGATAGGGTAATGTAAGGAATATCCCATCGGGCAAAATGCCTCCACGGCATTGCTGGCACATACGCCGCACTCTTTTGTCGAAATCTTTCATGACCATCTGTATAATGGTGGCTGAATTTCGTTGATGCATCGTTTAATATCCTCTTGTAATGCACGGGTAGTGGTGGGCTTGTTGACATAGACATTTGACTTTAAATAACGCCATGAGAAGAAATCTAATGGTGTTACAGCACACGATCTAGGAGGCCAATTCTGATCGAAACGGGAAAGTACACGACTAGGTAATGTCTCATGCAGTAACTGAATTGTTTCACTAGCTGTATGGCATGTGGCACCGTCTTGTTGAAACCACATATTGGAAACATCCATAGCATCGAATTTCGGCAGAAAGAACTTTGCTATCATGTCGCAATATCAAGCATCAGTAACAGTTACTGCTTCACCAGCCTCACTTTCAAAAAAGTATGGTCCAAGGATGCCTCCAGCCCAAAATCCGCACCAAACACGTGACACGTTGTGGTTGCATTTGTTTTTCGACAATCACACGTGGGTTCTC